GAGCTTGTGGCCGGCCTCGTTCAGCTTCTGGGTATCGAAAGAGCCACCAATACCGAAGGTCAGACCGCTGTTGACCTTGGTGTTGTAGGCGAGGGAAGCAATGCCGAGGTTGTTGATCTTGGCCTGGATGGGATTAGTACAGACGCCCTCGTGCATGTCAGGGACCGTCATACCTTAGCGAAAGACGCAGGGTCAAGCTTGTACTTGGCAGCGAGCTCAAGACCGACGTTGTTGCCGGACTTTGAGTCCCAGACAGCGCGGGCACCGGCCTCGACAGCGGGGTTGACGCGCTGGTAGTACGAGGCGGTGAAAACGCTCAGGGAGTTGGTGGCAGTCACGGCAGCGTTGTAGAGAGGGGTGGTGTATCCGACAGCGGCGGAGTACTTGGTGATGGCAGCCTTCTGCACATCGTAACCGACTTCACCACCAACGACCATGCCCTCGTGGCTAACGACAGCATCAGCGGTGGTGCCAATGGCGCCAGCAGCCGAGTAGTCGACGAAAGCGCGGCCGTGGAAGGCAGGCTGCTTGAAGTGAAGGTTGACCTTCTGGCCCTTGTTGCCGGCAGCGGGGTTGAAGTTGGAGAGAATCTCAGTCTTCAAGCCGCTGGCAAAGGTGTCGTTGAGCTCGACCTTGGTGGCCAGCATGTTGGCAGTGTTCCATGACTGGGTGATGCTGATGCCTGCGTCGTCCGTTGTCAGTAGGTTGATTCCGTAGCCCGCCACGGAAAAGCCCCCCTTGCCGGGAGGCTGCTTCACGTGGAATATATAAGATTGAAAGTTGGAAGACGTATGAAGGGGTATAGAGAGGCTCGTGGAGCGGGGGAGAAAGGAATCGTTTGTCGTACCGTTGGAAAGCGACTTCTTGCCCTCGAGCTGGTGGACGCGTTAGCCATGGCGTTTTTCCGCGTACAATGGCGGGCTTACCGAGGAAGTGACGGGGCCATCGTGGGCAGAGGTTCCCTTGGCGGTGAAGTTGACACCGTTGGGGGCCTTGAGCTTGACCTCAAGGGCAGCTGCGGGCGCGTCAGTGGGAGGGCAGGCGGATCAATTGGAGTCGCGGACCTGCGGCAGTGTGGTAGAAGTCCTTGTTGATGAGCTGGAGGGCGGCTCCGTTAGCAATGGCGCCATGGGGAAGCTCGTCGCGGGGAGCCAAAACATACGTCGTTGGAGGCCTTGGCGATGTCGCTGAACGCCGGCGGCGGGAACTTGGGGATGATCTTCTCGACCTTGACGTACTCAGTCATGTTGGGCGGTTTGGTGGGGGATGTGATGGAGGAAAGAGGGGTGTTTAGGGCGTCGTGTTGCTGGCTGCAAGCAAAACTTCTTGAGAAGTCACGGCAGGGTCCGCGCTAGTAATCCCGGATGATCTTCGTGCCTGCCAGTCCACCCACTCTCCGTCCATCCCTCAGACACGACCAAACTCTGTTCTCCATGTTCGTCGGCGTCGACTATACTGTAGGCTAGGCGCCCCTTCATCTTACTCGATACTCAGATGATGCGACTGCCGCTCCTGCCACTCCTGCCATCTGCGCCCTCGACCATGGAACCCGTTTCCAGGCGCAGTCGCCCGCGCGCGTGGCATCGTCTCGAGTTGTTCGGCCCACTCGCCCACGCACATGTGGTCGCCAGTCTTTCCTTGACCGGACGCTTTGTACAGCGCAAGAACAGCGCATGTCATGTGGTGTGGGGTCGTCTGTCTGGGCGACAACGTTGACCCTGCAAGCACATCCTCATAGCAACATACTCCAGTCACCATCCCGAGGGCGAAGACAGCCCACTTACTTGCCATTTGTTCCATGTTTCTTCTGAATCTGATCACGCAGTTGAGATGCCTCAAGTACACATGCGGAGTGGGATCTAGCCATGCTCGTTCGCATTGCCTGTGGGGATATTTCGGTGTCTGCACATTGGCAACCCCATCAATCGCTGAACGAATGACTTTCCTCGCACCGCAATGTGAACTTTGAAGAATGTGCGACATTGCGTTGACGCTCCGATGGGAGGGTACCGTCGTTTGGTTCATACCAGCCTTACCATCGGTGGCCGATCTCGGGTTCCCAGACGGCTGTACTCCGCGCCCCGCTAAATAAATAAAACTCCTAGAGTGACTCTGACGTTGATTATTCTAGCGCACGCGTCTGGACCTGCAACGACACAATAATTAAATCGGCGCTCTTTGGACACATACACAGACGTTTGGATACACCGAGTACGCATCTCATTGACTAGTCGCCGTTCACAAGGGAGCCGAATCCCCACAATCTCGCCAACACCACAACCACAATGTCTACCTTTGGCACGCACTTCAGGGTCACCACGTATGCATACGCGCCGTATAGCTGCTCGACGTCTACTGACCTGCGATAGCTATGGCGAATCCCATTGTCTTTCCGTCGGCGCCATTATCGACGGTTGCCCGCCGGGCATGGCCCTTACTGAGGATGACATCCAACCCCAGATGACGCGCCGCCGACCGGGCCAGTCCGCCATCACAACCCCCCGCGACGAGAAAGACCGCGTAGAGATCCAGTCTGGCACAGAGTTCGGCATCACACTGGGCACCCCGATTGGCGTCAGGGTCATGAACGAGAACCAGCGCAAGCAAGACTACGGCAACAAGACGATGGACATGTACCCAAGACCGAGCCACGCCGACTGGACATACCTGGAGAAGTACGGTGTGAAGGCTAGCTCAGGTGGTGGACGAAGTAGCGCACGAGAGACCATTGGTGAGCGGATTCCGGCACAACCACCGTACAAATGCTAATGGTGCCCAGGACGAGTAGCAGCCGGTGCGATAGCGGAGAAGTACCTGCGCGAAGCCTACGGTATCGAGATCATCGCATTCACCAACTCCATCGGAAACGAGTTCCTCTTCCCTCCCACACCCGAACACCCCACCGCATCCACGAACCCAGAGTACCTCAAGCTAATCGACTCGATTACACGCAACAAGGTAGACGAGTACCTGCCCGTCAGGTGTCCGAGCGACGATGTCACCAAACGCATGGAAGACTTGATCGCCAAGTACCGCGACACACAAGACAGCATAGGTGGCACCGTGACTTGCGTAATAAGAGGTTGCCCGACAGGCTTGGGAGAGCCATGCTTTGACAAGCTGGAGGCCAAGCTGGGACACGCTATGCTGTCGATTCCCGCAACCAAGGGTTTTGAAATCGGATCCGGCTTCGGAGGCGCACAACTACCGGGCTCAATTCACAATGACGCGTTCGTCAAAGCTCCTGCTGTCCCGGCAGGCGAAAACCCCGATGCAAGCAAGTACCGCTCAAAACCCAAGCTCACCACCAAGACCAACAACTCGGGCGGTATCCAGGGTGGCATCACCAACGGCGCGCCCATCTACTTCAACGTAGCTTTTAAGCCGGCAGCGACAATTGGACAGGCGCAGTCTACAGTCACATACGACCAGGAAGAAGGAGTGTTGGAGGCCAAGGGCAGGCACGATCCTTGTGTAGTGCCTCGTGCAGTGCCCATTGTCGAGATGATGGCTGCATTGGTCATCATGGATGCTGTACTAGCCCAGCAGGCGAGACAAGGCGCGAGGAGCTTGCTTCCACCGCTAAAGGGTGTTCAACCCGTCAATGGCGCTTGATAGGCCGGATGATGTAAGTCGGGTATAACGGGAGTGAAGGCGCCAGCTGCACGTGTACGATGTTTTTGCGCCGAGATGGATGAAAGTTATTAGACTTGATGTATAGATAAAAGTGCCACGACTCTACAGGATCAGGGTCCACAGATGGGCTCAAAGGCTCAAAGTCATTCCGAGTCGGAATACAGCAAGTTCAGCAGCGAGAACCAGTTCAGATGCTACCCATGATCATACAAACTTGTCTACCACCCTCGGCCGAGCTGACAGAACCGTCGGCGAGACGAATAGTTCACATGCGAGCCGAATGGGCAAAAGAGTAGAACCAAATCTCCATCTTCGTGACGTGCATCTTACCGGTAAAACGTAGGATAAGGCTTGCAGCTGTAGACTAGTCGAGACGTTCCGATAGAGTGGTAATAGGCACCGCCACCTGGTGTCTTTACCCATTGAGAGGCCGATGTTCACCGGCAAGGACTTCCAGCCTCGCGGAAGCCAGTGTGGGTGCCGGCAGAGTCGCCACACTGTAAGAAGAGGTGACCAGGAGGATGCATTGGCAGCGGATGCTATCGGGCCTTCCCCTCCACCAAAAGCAAGAACCCTGGCTGTTGGAGATCCCTTCGCTTGCAGCCGCGAGCCAACATGACATAGGACACGCTCCGCGAACCCCTCTTCCTCCAGTCTATCCTCTTGCCTACAAGCAGCTCTTGTCAGTGTCGCTCCCTTGTCTGACCGACATCGAGATCGCGCACAAGCACGTGTGCCGCCTTGCATCATCCGTGTGAAGATAGCCATGGCAAATTCGTCCAGCTCGGTGCGCCATGCCGAAGCTAGTCGTTGATGCTGGTGGTGCTCCAAAAAACTCTGTCCTGTCGCAAGCAGATGCTGCAGTACCCGAAAACAGGCTCCACCGATAGAGTCGTCCCAAGTTCGCTTCTATCTCCGCAAAGGCCCCTCGCGTCCGGACATGTCAGCTGACCCATGTCTCCGGGACCTCGATTCGAATTCCCACGTGCGGCACAGCCTGTCGGACGCGACCTATACATCTGTTACAGCCCATCGGCTACTGCAGTAGGCGTTTAACTCCCAATCTAGATCCGATACCAGGCCAATCGAGCCTCTTCGTCGTGGTCGCGCATCGATCCTTTTGGATGCCGCCTCTGCGTTTGCCACCCTACCGAAAATCATCCATGGGCTTTGATCTTGCCGAACGCAAACTAAGGCAGGCACGTTGAACGTCGCGACGGGCGCCAACGTCACAGCTACCTAATCCGAGCCCGCTGTTCTTCTCCCTCGACATTGGTGGCTAATCATATTACTTTCCTACCCGGCCCAGAGAATGGAATAACTAACTCGTCCTCGGAGCCTCTTCATTCCCCTCGTGATCAACCATGGCCCGCGCCGCTACTGCCACCTCTTCCAACAACAGAGACGACCAAGATAACTCACAGGCGCAGGACACAAAAGCCAGTAAGCGGCGCTGTGTCCAGTCGGCCTGTGTGCCCTGCCGGAAACGCAAGTCCAAAGTAAGCATCAATCTTCCCACTGCATGATCCAATTCCACATTGAGCTCCTACATCTGGCCCGATGCTAGAGATTCGCCTCCGCGGAAGGCTCGACACCAGCGAGGATTATCCGCAAGTCTTGTTTGGGCCATTCTCCGGGCAACTTTCCCGGTCCTTCGCCAAGTGCCCTCCTGCTGACACCTCATCTACAGTGTGACGGTGGTACACCCGTGTGCGCGACTTGCACTGCCGTCTACAAGACTGAATGTCATTACGATGCTGAGAGCGAGAGTCGTCGCACTAAGGCTACTCCGACGATCGCAAACAATACTGGGATCAAGCGCGACGCCTCCCTTGTCGCCACCTCCAGCCCTGAGAATACCTCGAGCGCCGAATTTATTGTCAATTCGCTGAGACGTCTACCTGAGGAGCATGTCCAAGAATTTCTCAATCATATTCGAAGAGACCCCAGCCTCGACATCACCTCCCTAGCTGAAACATGGCGCAAGAACGTGACGCTGACGCAGAGCGAGCCCGTCGACGTTCAGAGCCTCGAGTCAGATCTTAGTGTACTGCTTGGGAAGCCATCTGTTACATCCACCGGCCAGAGCAGACACTTTGGACATTCTGCAAGCCTAGGCCTGGTACCCGAAGATGAGAATTTCGGTGGCGGGCGGCTGCGTACCAACAGCGTGAAGCCAGAGCGTCAAGGGTCAACATGGACCAACGTAACCGATGACCTGGCTTTTGTTGAGACGCTGCTTGACCTCTATTTCACCTGGAGTCATCCCTTCTACGTGCTCTTCAGCCGAGAGTGCTTTTACAAGGACTTCAGAGCGGGACGCGACAAGTACTGCTGCTCTCTACTGGTCAATGCTATTTGCGCATATGCATGTCATCTCACAGAAGACCCTGCAGGTCGCACGGATCCTGACAACTTCCGTACTGCAGGCGATCACTTCTTTGCCGAGGCCAGGCGACTTCTGTTCGAAGATGAAACCCCGAGCCTGACGACTGTTCAGGCGCTCTGCATTATGTCGATGCGTGAGCCGAGTACAGGGAGAGAAAGTTCAGGCTTTTCCTACATGGGAAGGTGTCTTCGTATGTGTGTTGAGCTTGGTTTGCACTTGAACTATGGCGCCAATTCTGCGCTGGGCTTGACACCAAGTGAGATCGAAGTGAGAAAGGTCACATTCTGGGGCTGCTTCACTGTGGATACGTGAGTTATCTTGGTTACTTTTACCCCGACTGGGCTAACTCGACGCAGAATCTGGACGATCGTTACTGGCCGCATATCTCAGCTCCCTCGAGCTGCCATTACTCTCGAAAAGCCTATGCTGGAAGAGACGTCTGACCTTCCTGAGGCTTATCCCGCCCCCTCACAAATCGCAGGAGGCGGAGTCGTAACCATTCGCATGTTCCTCCAGGAATTCACATCGCTCGTGGAGCTCGTCAATGACAACAACCACATGTTCTTTGCGCCAAAAGAGCGACTTACGAGCAGTAAATTGCTTGATTTTTATCATAAATACCAAGCCTGGTATAGAAAACTGCCAGCTTTGATAAGCCTGGAAGGAAAGAAGGAACCCGAGCCACACATCTTGGTACTACAGTATGTCTGAACATCCATGCTTACTTTGCGAACCGAACTGACACTACACGTAGCATGCTTTATTGGACCATCATCGTGCACCTTTTCCGGCCTCTGCTCAAAGTCGATCTTATTCATTCCGATATACGCCCCCGCGACATCTGCGTAGATGCGGCCAACAAAGTGTCTGAACTTGTCCGGATCTACCGGCAGTTCTACGACTTTCGTCAAGCTCACCTGCTCATACCACACGTATTACTCACTGTCTGTGTTGTGCACTTGCTATATTCAAAGGATAACAGCATTTCTCGCCAAAACCTCATCGAAGGCATGCAGGGCCTAGACGATCTTCACGAATGTCATTATTTCGGGGCGAGGAGTTTCCGCGTCATATACACCCTTGCGAAGACGTGGAAGTTGCCCTTTCCTGAAGAATTAGGCAACTCCTCGTTGATACCGACAAGTGACCCCAACAAGCCCCAAGGTACTATCAGTCCTCCGACAGATCCTCTTATGATACCTCCCAATACAACAACTATTACCGGCAATCGGATAGGACCTGGCCGTCTCCATCCACCTATTACTCAGAGGAGGGAGAGCCTGTCGATGTTTGCTCCTCAACCAGGGTTGCAATTGGCTACACATCCCGCCAATTCGAGGCCGAGTAGTGTGGTATCGAGCCAACACCAACCATCACCTGTTGTAGGGCACACACCCACCCATCATAATTACAACACAGGAATGCCTTTACCGACATATCAGTACTCGCAGCCCATGTCGTCCGCACCCAACATGTCCACGGCGATGACATCTCCATCTACCGATACGGCAGAATCCATGTTTTGGAACCCTATTCCTGGAGTACCAGGACCGATTCTGCCACGTCACACCTATCAGCAAATAAGTCCGATGGGCCTGGAGAGTGTTCTCCACAACACAGACGTAGGCGATCGTCTTGGTCGGGATGGTTTCAAGATCAGCGAGGACTGGCGATCGAGCCATATCAACGGCTTCAATCACAATATGGGAGGCAGTGTGTACGGCAACCCGCATAGCCAGGCAGACACTGGGTATGCGCACCGAGGGAGCTACGCGCAGCCGACAGAACATGTGAGCTACCCACAAACGACACATGAGGGGCACCACCATACGCAAGAAGAGTACGACCCAGGATGGTGGCAGAACACGAACGGAAACCAAGGACCGATGAGTTGACAGATGGATGGTTTCAAAATCGAGGATGGGAGCATTTTTCATTTGATGCAGCAGTTGGCTCGGTGAGCTTTATCGGAAGAAGCTCATACATTCGAGGCTTGATGGATTTCGAGTGGCGTTGCATAGCGGCATCATTTAGCGGGGCTAAGGCGCACAGGTACTGAACGACGAGTGCATTTTCTCAATGAAGGCGTTCATGGTCGGTGGACTGAGAGCTCGTACGGATGTGCAATTGAGAGACTAGCAACAGTAGGCAAATGTCATGTGTTCCGTGTATCCAAGGTCCATTCCATGTGCCTCTTTATCTTTATCTGCGCGCATGAATCAATGAGACAGAATATAATGGCAGGTACAAGAACATGAATGTTTGTATTAAACACATTGCAGCTACATAGAGACATGTGTAGGTAATATAGTTGAAATGCTGAGATATGAGAGGGTATAGATCTAAATGAAGGAAAAGCCGGGGGAAAATATACAGGCCCAATTAACGGCAAAGTATGCAGCACGCCGGCGACATCGACTCAACATTACACCTCACCCTGAAAACTAGCAACACACTCAAACACCCTTTTGCTTTGCAGTCTGGACAAGCACACTAGCAGTCCCAGCACGTTCTTCATACAAGCGCCTCAGGTCCTCGACAGACTGCTTTTTCAGGTTCATTTTCTTTGGCTTCAATGTTCGGCCTCTTGCAACCCCAGTCTCGGCGTCTGCGTCCTCTTTCTTTGATTGGTCTCTGGCGAAGTTCTCGAAGCTGGGCATGCGTTGCATGAGACTTGGACTCGGGGTACGCAGACGGGGCGCAGCAGCAGGAATGGGGAGCGTGGATGCTTTGGTGGGTGCGTTGATAATGGGAACTTGAGGCGTCACCGGGTATACGGGTCGGGCGAGTGAGTTGATGCTGGGGCTACGGCTTGTTGTTGATGATGTTGCGGAGAATGGAATGCTTGGACGGCGAAAGGCAGGTTCTGATGCTGGTGCCGAGACTGCGCTTTGGGGAGAGGTCAACTGAGGCGAACTCACGCCCTCGCTCGATGCGTATGTTGAGGATGGACCTCTTTTCGCAATAGAGTTGTTGCTGTAGTAATTACCTGTAAGACCTGGAAGCGCCATACCGCCCATGGGGTGTTTGTGAGCTTCATCCTGTGCGACGACGGCCTTGGAGACATTGTCAATCTGCATCGCAGTCAGGGTTTTCCTCTTAGGAATGTTGAGTCTAGGCGCAACAGTAGGAGGAGTAGCAGTAGTAGTAGAAGAAACGTGAGGAAATGGCGCATCTTCTTGTGCGCGAGTAGATGCTGACATAGGAAGGACTGGAACTGGATTGCTCGTACCAGACTTCTTCTCATCCGTTTGTGCACTCCATCGCGGTGGTACATTAGGGGGTTGGCCGATACGGTTGTCGTCGTTTCGGGGTGGGGCGAAGCCATCAGTGGTGGCAGCGTAAGTTATGGGTGACTCGGCGACGTCTTCAGGCGCGTCGGATATGACAGTAGAGTAGCGAGGTGGCACTGTAAGGGGCGGTGCAGGTTTCCGCTGAACAGAATCGGCAGAAGATTTGGCCGACGGTGCGCGTGAGCGTGGAGGCAGAGGAGGCGGTAACGCCTCGCCTTGTGTTTCCTGTGGTTCGTGATAGGTAGGCATCTTCTCATTGTCGAGTAGCGTTATACCGCTCATCTGATCTTCCAATGAGCCTTTGCTATCTGCAGAATCACGCTTCGCATCCGCAGGGTCCTCCCAGTCGTTCTCGTCTTTGGGTAGCTCGAGTTCATTGTAGAAAGCCTCCTCGTTCTGCCCGCATGCTTCTCTAAGCCCCTCGGTCCACAAGTCGACTGCCTGGGTGAAGATCCTTCTTATTATTGAGGACATCTTGGCGTCTTCAAGCTGATCAGGTCCACACAGCAATCCAGGTGCAAAGCAAACAGCGAGGTTTTCGGCCGTCATCTTGTTTTCTTCTTGTCGTGCGGCTATGGCACTCATGAGAGGCAGAAGATGCCTGCACAGGATCTCGCGGGATATGCCAGGTAGCAGGGACCACTCCGAAGTTGGCGAGAACAGGTCGGTCAGTTTGTCGAGTTCAAGAATCTCCTGGCTGTCGCCATAGAGTCGCTTCAGGTCCCGATATGAGTCGGTTGGGAAGATAGGCTGGCGCAGAGATGCATACCATGCTTTGATCAGAGCTGCTGCCATGAAGACCGAGTATGCGTCGGTGGGGGCCACCTCGGCTAGTATCTCGTCTTGATGTTGGGCGTGTGGGTAGGGTGGTACAGGCAGTGTCACCTCGTTGTCCTTCCAGATGATGTATTTTTGGCCCCTATCGTATGCTTCCTTCAATGCATCGCGCAGCCTTGAGTGTGGTGGTACGCGGAATAGGCCTTCCGAGGTGATGTTCTGCTCCATGAGCACGAAGCTGGTCGTCTCTCGCAGCACGCGTGGAAAGCGTGTCTTGCCATTACTGCCTGTGGGAAAAGGGGCGCGGGCGCCAAATGCTCGTTTCCCGCTGCCATTGAAAGCGGAGATGTGTTCGCACACGCGACGGTCGGCAAGATAGGTCGAAGGAGGGATAAGCAGGTTCTCGATTTGGATTTCGCGGGCAAGCTGCGTCAGGTTGGATACTAGAAGGAGTCAGCATTGCTCCGCGCTGCGGGGTTGTGGATACGCACGATGGTAGATCTTTCTCCTGAACTTGGGACTGACAATGGTAGAGAAGATCTCGGTCAGTATCCGTACCCAAGCTTTCTCGTGCACAATGTACAGGCGCTGGAGCCTCTTGCGCATGGCCCTGGACAGGACATGGTACGCTTGCAGAAACCAGCCCCAGCCAGGCCGGTGCTTCTTGTTTGTCGCTGAGCCATCGCCATCGCCGGCAAAGAAGACGACCTCGTATTCGAATCCCTTCAGCAGTTCGTCTTCCTCGGGCAGGCGCGCAAGGACATAGGGTAGCAGGGAGTCGTAGTCGGCTTCGTGCGAGTCGGGGAGAGCGGCGGCGTTGAGGATGAAGACGGGCCTTCCCTCTTGCGAAGGCAGCGGCGACCGGTAGAGAACGGAAGCAGCGATTTTGGCCAGGTCGGGCGAGTAGTTGGAACTGTGCTGTGGTGGGGGTACTGCGGAGAGCGAGGAGCTGCGCAGCCGACTGGCGATGTGGGCACGCACGCCGCTCATGGCGACGAGTGAGGGGGCTGGCAAGCTTCAGTCAGGTTTGCCGCTGGCAGTAGGAAGGAACCGAGGGCGAATCAGGAATAAGAGCACGTGCGGACAATATACATGTAGTGGAAAGGGTCGGTGGACGGCCTGAGGCGGTGCGGTGCGGCTTATGCGGAGATGCAGCACCTCAGCCTGCATCTATAAACAAACCTTGGGTACGTCACTGTCATGAGCGCCACGAGGGTCTCAACTTTCTTAGCGCACCCAAGCACGGACGTGGCTGACTCTGATTTGACTCTATTACTCCAGAGTCCCATGTGTTTCAGATGCCGCGTCGCCTGTACAGGGAAGCTCTGCATGTCTGCACCCTTGCAGACGACGCGTGGGGCTGCACGTGTAATATCACGCATTACTATCAAGACATGACATCCATGAATCCATCAGATTAGGCATCATGTGTCGCCCGGGCAGCAAACTCTACTTCCAAGTATCCAGCGTCATTCCGTGACATGAGACGCGTTTGCTATGATGCGTTCCCGTTGATCAGGTCGCACAGTGCGCACAATGACTCTTCAGCGCTACTCATCCGTTTCCGAGCCAGTGCCATTGCCATCAGCTGCTTGCTCGTCGAATACTATTTGCACGCCTTCTTGATCCAACCTTCCCCGTAGGTCTACAAAGCGTTGTGTGTTCTCCTCAAACTCTTGCATGTTGCTGCCCGCTGCTTCCAGCGCCCGTACCAAGCCCTGCCCGTCCTCACCTTGCCGCATAAGCCCATCTATCCCTATGCGTTCAAAGTAGGATCGAAACTGCTCAAGTTCGGCGAGCAGCCGTTCTCGTAAGGCGGGGTCATGAGGGCGCCCAGCTACAGAAGCATCGTACGACGCTATGTTGCCATCGGGAGCTAGTGGATCGGAAACGGATGTGAATTTGGACTTGACGCGAGGGTCAAGAAGGGCCATAAGCGTTTGGTTATCCGAAAGGATGACATGTCGAGCAAGGTCCGTCTCTGGTATCTGCGCAAGCCAGTATGGATCCTCTCCTGCTCCCAGCTCTTCTTCAAAAGCGTAGCACATCTCCACTAGCAAAGTCGTCCCTTCGGTGTTGTTCCACAGGTCTTTCGCCTTGGGTACATACAGCTGACATAGCAGCTCTTGATACTGGCCGTTTGGTTCCTTTCCCCATACAGGTTTTGGTATCGGGGAAATGTCCAGCTCTTTGCATAGCCGCGCTGCTAGCCATGGATATTCTTTGATTGCGTTGCGCAACGTTGAGCGTGCTTTCTGTGGCTCTTTGATGCGATCGTGAGCAAGCGCAACGCTGAAAGCGAGATTCGGTGGAACCTTCCACTGTCGCTGGAGGTAATCTGCTTCGACCAGGTTGACTAAGGCGCCCGGCTCTCGCCCTCTCAAGGCTAGTTGATCGATGAGGAGTCGAAGACAGTAAGGATCATTCTCAGGGTCCATTGCAAGTAGCATCTTAGCCCACTCGAACGATGTTCGCCACGTCGCACGAACACCCAATGTATTGATGTAGCGCCATACCGCAAGCCAGAACTCGCGGTTTTCTGGACGGCGAAAGTCCAACCGGGCTTTACCAGCCGCCAGGTTCGCAGAGAAGGTAGAATGTACGGAGCGCCCAAAAGTGAAGAGAGCGCGCTCCAACATCTCGGACGCAGCAGCAGGTTCTCGCTGTTGCTTAGCGATCTCTGAGACTTGAAGCAGAGTGGAGATGTGGAAGGCTGTGAATGACGTTAGTACTCTATATGACATGAAAAGTGGCTCAACTTACGGTTGTGGTGCAAGAGTTGGATCATACGCTCAGAATCCATACTTGCGACACAAATCTGGAACTGCCGCTGAACATCTTGATACATGTTGTTGTGAAAGAATCTGTATTCGACAGTGCCGTCCGCTCGTTTCTCGACAATTTCCATGCCGAGGCCGCCAGATGTAGCTCGTGGCCACTCCTCTTTACCTTGGATGAAGATGTTCCGTCGAAGTCCCAACGATGCAAGGTTGCGATTGCCAGGAGCGTTACGTCCTGCAATTGCAGCAGCGATGCCACCTTGTTGACCACGTTGTCGAGGCCGCGCCTCGTCTTCGGCACTTTGCACAGCGGCTCGACCGAAGAGCCTCTTCATCTCGTTTGCGGCATGTAAATGTTGCGTGTCCACACTCAGCACAGAGAAGAGTTGCTTCTTCTCTTCGCTAATGGGGTCGCGTTGATCTGATCCAGGTCCCGTTTGGCTGTTCATAGAGAGGTTGAGGGCAAGCAATGCCCGATCAATCTCATCAAGATCTGACTTTCCTGTGGTAGAGGCGGAGGGCTTGTCAGCATCTGCAGCTTTGGCTTTGGCTTTGGCCTTCTTTTTCTTCTTCTTGCTCTTCTTTGAGGGTTTCGATGCAGGCATAGGCTCAATCTCCGCGTGATCATCGGAGTCTTCGGCTTTGGGCGCGGCGTCTTGATCCGTTCCTTCATCCTCTTCGTCCTCTTCATCTTGGTCGCCACCATCGCCCAACATAGCAAACAGGCTGGGTTTCGCCTTTGTCTTGGGGGCTACCTCAGGCTCCGACTCTTCCTCGTCTTGGTCATCTTGGGCAAGTTGTTCCTGTATCTGCTTCTCTTCAAGCTCCCGCTGGGCCCGCCGCAACGCTCGCGAAGACATTTTGAAGTGTCGAAAATTAAGTGTTTGGGGTAACGTGATGACGTCGTAGTGGTTTAGATTGTTCGCAGGGGATGATTGGGTCCCCGCTTTAAGCGCTTGGACTAGGCGTTCTCCCAGCCTGCACCATGATTTCACCCGTGGACTACTGTTGCTGCCAACCTCACTCCCAATCCCCTTCACCCCACCTGCCAGATGCGGGCTGCCTTCCAAGTGCTTCGCTCTGCACGTCGCCCGTGCCTGCGCAAGCTTGCCCGCAGCCGTGTCGGCGTCTTTGCGCCGAGCAATGGCCTAGGCTTCCGGGCTCATCATCACTACCGCCAGCGCACCTCGCCCATCGTCCTCGCGTCGTCGATGCAGTTCCGCGCCCTCAAAGGTGCGCTAGTGGCTGCCGCCGTCGCCTCGGGTGCCTTCTACGCTTACAACGACAAATCCTCGACAGGACACGCGCAGTCCCCCGCCGACCAAGCCAGGAACCTGACCAGCGCCCGAAGCAGCGAGCCCGCGCGCAAGGCACTGGTCGTTGGTCCCGGCGAGCTCTACACAGGAACCATCACCGGGCCCATCTCGAAAGAGACGGATGACTACGGCAGGAAGGTGCTGGAGATGCTGGACCCCGACCAAGCCACAGCCAAGCTGAGGAAGAACGAGGAGTCGTGGCTCGTGGGCAGAGGGCAGGGCGTTGTGCGGTACGACGTGGTGCAGATTCCCAGCAACTCCCCCATCGAAGACGACCATGCCGAGAAGATCATCGAGGTACCATCGAACCTGGCAGCCACGGACAATGGCGCCTCGGCCAGCGACTGGATGTTCTGGGGCGTTTTCGACGGACACAGGTAGGTGTCGATCGTGGTCGCGAGTCTCGCCAGTGCTAACCTCGACAGTGGCTGGGTTACCTCAGCCAAGCTTCGTCAGACCCTCATCTCCTACGTCGCACGCGAGCTCAACACGACCTACAAGTCGGCCGTCGAGGACCCTGCGCTCCACTTCCCGAGCCCCGATGCTATCGACCGCGCCATCAAGACCGGCTTCACCAAACTAGACAACGAGATCGTACACGAATCCGTCAAGAAAGTCCGCAAGGCTCAGTCCAAGATCGCTGCTGCTGAGCTGCTGGCCCCCGCCCTTTCCGGTTCCTGCGCACTCCTCTCCTTCTACGACAGCCGATCCAAGCTCCTGCGAGTCGCCTGCACGGGTGATTCTCGCGCGATTCTGGGTCGACGAGGGCCCAATGGCAAGTGGACCGTGACTCCCCTGTCTGAAGACCAAACCGGTGGAACTACAAGTGAGGCTGAGCGGTTGCGTCGAGAGCATCCGGGTGAGCCCAACGTGGTCCGGAATGGTCGCATTCTAGGTGGACTGGAACCATCCCGGGCGTTTGGAGATGCATCCTACAAGTGGTCGGCCGAGACCAACGCCGAGCTCAAGAAGTCCTACTTTTCGCGATCGCCTTCAACACTACTTAAGACTCCTCCATACGTCACTGCCGAGCCGGTCATCACAACTACCAAGGTAGAGCCCGAAAAGGGTGATTTCGTCGTCATGGCTACTGATGGTCTATGGGAGATGCTTACCAACGAGGAGGTCGTAGGCTTAGTTGGTCAGTGGCTCGACGCTCAGGGCAACCCGGCCAGTCAAGGTTCACAGACCCAGTCATGGCTCAAGAGCTGGTGGTCCACACAAAAGCAATTACCTGTCGAGCAGAAGGCAGCGGAGAAGGGAGAGGGTCAACGTGCACCAATCCGTCAGCAACAGTGGGGTACCAAGACTAGCCTGAACGAGCGCTTCGTGGTTGAGGACAAGAACGCAGCTACGCATCTTGTTCGGAATGCACTTGGCGGAAAGGATCAGGATCAACTGAGTGCTCTCCTCACCCTCCCAAGTCCCTTTTCGCGACGATACAGGGACGACTTGACCGTCGAGGTCATCTTCTTCGGAGAAGGCGCAGGCACCGGTAACGTCACACGGAACCAGGAAGCCAGTGCTGCAGAACCAGAAGTCAAGCCCAAACTATAGAGCATCTTCTTGTTTTCAAATCTGAACATTTGTACGGGCGATATCCTTAGGCGACCTCTGATGGTCGCACGGCGTTTACGAGCTCTTCTGAGCAAGGCGTTTGACGGAAGCACGACGAGCATAGCAAGTTTGTTTTTCTGGTTGTACGTAGCATGGCTTGGTCTCTGGACCCTGAATTGAAGTGAACCAGGTTCTCCGCCTGTCTGTCTGTCTTTCCACGTGCCCGCGTGTTGTTGAAGCTTTCCCGGTTAGATTCCGCGATGTCCGCATGATGTCATCGTTGCGACTAGAAGCATCACGAACTTATCATGAACTACAAAATTCAGTTAAAAAAGCC